AAGTGGAAAAATCCCAATTTTTACATGTATTTTGTTAAATTCATTTCTAAGTGTTTTATTTCTTTTAATACCCTTATAAACTTATGTTTTCTTCATTGTATTTTCAATTGTTCTTTGCTAGTGTGTAGAAATGCAGTTGATTTTGCTGGATCCACTGATTCCTTTTAATAGCCTCCTGTTTGATTCCTTAGGGGTTTCTATTTACATGATCATGTAATCTGCAAGTAGAAATAGTGTATCTAGTCTCTTACTTTCTAATCTGGATGGGTTTAAGTTTATTTTTCTTGCTTAATTGTGCTAGTTAGAACCTCCAGTACAATTTTGAATAGAAGTGGAAAGAGGGTATCTTTGACTTGTTCCTAATTTATGGAGCACACCAGGATGTTTAATGACTTTAATATGTAAAGATGTCAAATTTTCTCATAGTTCCAGAAATAGTGTTCATGTAGGTGAATGTATAGGTCTAAGAAGCCATAAAATTTATGAAGAAATGAGTGAAGATTCTCTCCCATGCTAACAAAACACTTAAAAGGCAGGGTCAATTTAAAAAGGATGGAACTGGCAGAAAGATACAGATAGGTTACAAAGTTTAGATGCTTCAACACACGCAGGCAGGAAAACCAATGAGGAAGAGACAGGTTTTGGGGAAGCTTTAATAGCTGTTGAAGAAGAGATGGTTAGTTTTTTTTTTTAACCTCAGATTCATCGAAATAGATCTAGAATTTAAAGATGAAAGAACAAAGGAAAAGCCAAACAACTTAAAAATGATAAAAAATATTAGTAGTTATTACTGCCTCTGTGAGTATAGATTACATGACTTCCTATGTCAAAAGTTATTAGCAATAAATATAAAAGACAGTGTTATGCTTAACATAGAAAGGGTTAGTAAAAATCAATAAGCATTTAAGGATTCAAAGAAAAATGAGAGAAAAACAGACCATTCATTAAAAGAGGAAATGCAAATGACTGAAATAGATGTTCAATCTCACTGACAGTCAATGAAATGCAAATGAAACAAAGAGTACAACCTTTTGCGTTCAGCAAAGATTTCTAAGATGATAATACACATTACTGCTTAGGGTGTGTTGAGATAGCTCTCATACTAACCCAAGTATTAGGTGCATGTACAGATGTGGGAACTGAGACTCAGTGGGGTTCAGTAATTTGTCCAAGGTTATACTGCTAGACCAGGATTTGAACGTGAGTTGTGTGACTCCACTGTGGAGGGGGCCTGAGAGCCAGGCAGATATATTTGAAGTGCCTGTGTAGGGGGCGAATGGGCTCATTTATTGCAGAGGGAAGAAACAGTGGAAATTACACAAAGAACCACTCTTCAAACAAGAACTGTCTCCAACAGAGGAGAGAGGCAGGAAGGCCTGACAACACCTAGCTCTGTGGAGGCAGAGGAAGAGGGAGGATCTTTTAGTCTAACCAGACCTGGCTGCAATGGGTGAGGGTGGATGGCTTCATCCTTTAGAGAAGAAACACACCTCTTGGCTGACCAAGATTTCCATGTTTTAGCAGTTTCTGCTCTTTTCTCTTCCACAGAGAGCTAGCCCAATCTGCCCTTTCCTGGGAGGGCCCCTGCCTAGCTTCACCGTGCTCCCACAGCAGCCATCATCCCCTGCCAGCAGGAAGCCAGAACTTGCCAAACTGTGTGGGCCAGGGCGGGAGGAAGGAGGCGGAGTAGCCCATCTGAATTCTCTTTTGCCCTTTCCTGGAGTCTCACAGTTCTGTGGGGGTGGGGGAGGGAGAGAGGTGGGAAGAGGCAGTCCAGTCCTGCTGGAGAGCAGGAAACAATACTATTAAAGGAAAATGAGAAATACATATTAGTTGTAGTTTGGTAAAGAGGTCTTTGTTTGCAGAGTCCTTGGGGAATCTATTCTTAAAGTGGGGGCTTCTTATCCTTAGATAACCTTGGTTAGGTCTGTTAACTTTTTTTATACATCAGCTTCTTCATTTGTAAAATGGGCAAGACACTGGCAGTTTCATTGGCTTCAAGTGGATGAAGTGCTTAGATAACCAACCAGCTAGTATGAGGGCAAATGCCATAGTTAGCAGAGCTGCTCAGATCTGAGTTCAAGTTTGAGATCTAATTTTCTAGTTAGCAATGGGGGGGGGGGCGCGGGGGGGAAATTGCCCAAGCTTTCTCTGCTCTGTTTCTTCATCAGTGAAACGGGCTAACAACAGCACTTGCCTTAAATGGCACATCTCCAGGGTTAAATACCTATAGGGATTTACATGTGTCAAAGAGGTAATTCACATGAAGCAAGTGGCCGAACCAGGATGGTAAAGCCCACAGGTTTAATTGTTACACTTGCTATGGCCTCACAACCATAATACATATATAGCAATATCATAAAATATAGAGAAAAGGCTGGCAAGAAGTAAAATTTGTTAAGTGTTTCTGAATTGTGAGTTTATGATTTATTTTTATTTCCTTCTTTACATTTTTCTGTATTTTCCAAATTTATTAGCAGAAAAAAAGCTGTATATGATGTTCATATGCCTTCAGATCATTTATGATGGTCTCTATTGATTTAAAAAATCTGGCAATATCTTTGCATGTAATTTTGCATGTAATTTTCTCAGCAACTCTTTAATCCCATTTTTTAGATGAGAAGATTAGTCTGAGAGGGTTAGAGTTGACTCAAACTTTAGATCTCCTTGCTGCTCAGCGGCAGAGACCCATGGGCGGATCTGGTTGTCTCCAAAGCTAGGTCCCATCCATGGGAATGCTGGGCCAAGGACTCTCCCATAAATAAATGCAAAATTATTTATTTATGCACATAAGAACTGGGGTTTAGGCCAGAGATGGTGGTGGAGTGGGGGAAGGGGCCGGTGAGAGGATTCACCAGAGACAGTGTGGAGAACAGAAGAGGCAGATGGACTGAAATACACTGCTGAGGGGAGCAGTGGGCAAGACGGGAGAGGTCTGTTGTGCCATGTGGGTCAGCTCCCTGGCCAGCGGTTGAAATCATGCTGCAGTGGCTGGGGACAGCTTCATAGCTGAGACTTAACCCCTTGTACCACCAGGGCGGCCCCCAATGCAATCTTCTGATGGTTCAGTTAAGGTGGGAGGATGTCAAAATAGAGTTGGTGGTCAGTGTGCTCCCATGGGCAACCTGCGCCTGGTGCAGTTTCCTATATCGGTATTCTTCATGGAGGACATGGCCTGGAGAGTGGATCTGGGCATCCCTTCAAGGCATAGAAAATCAGAGCTATTGTGAAGAGTCTCCTCAAGAAGAAATAAAGGTTTCCACTACAAAGGTACCCCAAAGAGGAAAGAAATAAATACAACTGCACAAGAGTGAGGGAGGGAAATGGATGTGAGAGCCGCAAATCATTATCTATCATGGCAGGAAGACAGCAGATAATGGTGGGTTCGGATAAATCCAGATATAGCTATGCAAGCATTTCATTGAAAGGTATGGAGTTAATCACCCACCTGAAACAAATAGCTCTAAGTGCTTACCCCTAATGGAGGGATAGAAAGGACTTTTTTGCTTTTCATCAAAAATGCTTCTCTCCTTTGATTTTTGTAGAGCTATGTATGTGTACTGAATTTTATTTAAACATTATTGTAAAAGCAAAGACTGAAGAAAAAAGTACAGGCTTTGGGGTCATCTGTATGGATTCAAATCCCACTTTTGCCAGTTATAGATCTTGGGTAGATTAACCTCTTTAAGCTGCAATTTTATCTTCGCGAAAATACGAAAAAAAAACCATACTCATTCCACAGGGTGCTCTGAGGATAAAATGAGGTAATGCTTATAAAGCACAAGAACCAGTTCTGGCTAAAACCCCGCATCTGTAATTATTAATCACCGCTATCATTATTAATAAGCCGAGTGTGCACGCAATGCCCAGGATTTGCTGCTAGGCACACAGTAGGTGCAAACCTCCACCAGAGTCCACAATTTCTCCCAACTCGTGACTCCTGAGCCCCAGACCTCTGAGTGAACACTTAAATATTGATGTGGTTACTCATTTATTCATCACTGCTCTTCACCGCAGTGTCCGCTGAGGGCGAGCCCAGTCTCAGCCTCTCCCGCAGCTGCGGTCGGTCGCATCGGTGGTCCTCTCCAGCTCGGGGGACACTGGAGGGGCCGCACTGAACCGGTTTCCAGGTGGCTGATGCGCGGGCAGTCACGTGGCAGAGCCGGACTCTCTTCGGGCTTCACGCGGGCATCTTCCCCGGGCAGGGGCGGGCTGGAGTAGGGTGAGCGCGTCGGCCGACGAGTGGGCATCGGGTCCGCATCACCCCCGTGTTCCTCGCCAAGGGGAAGTCCTTCGGGGGCGACAAGGGGACCAGGCAGTATTAGGGCGAAGGTTTTTCGGAGCTGGGGCACCTTGGAAATTTGAGATTGAGTGGGAGGCAAGGAAAAGGCTTGTCATACTCTGCGGAGGGTGTCGCGCTCCCCGCGGGCGAGGCGGGGTT